CTATGGTCCAACCAATTGGGAGAGAATCAATAGATTCCTTTTCGGGAGCGATTCATCCTTCCCGAACGCAGCATACAACTCTCAGTTGTACTGCGCTAGATACAACTATAAAGACAACCGTAAACTGAAAAAATACGACTATAATTGAACAAATAGAACTGTCCCGAAAAAATAACCGTCAATATTTTAACGAAAATATGCGATAAAAATACACAACGGAGAAAAAATAACCGTCAATATTTTAACTGAAAGTTGCGATAAACAGACACAAACAAAAAAGTAACCGTCAATATTTTAAAGAAAGTTGCGATAAAAAGACACAACCAAAAAATAACCGTCGAAGGAAAAAAGTAACCGTCAATATTTTAATGAAGAGTTGCGATAAAAAACACAAAAAAAAAATAACCGTCAATATTTTAACGAAAAGTTGCGATAGAAAGACACAACCGAAAAAAATAACCGTCACTATTTTAACGGAAAGTTGCGATAAAAAGACACAAACAAAAAAATTATCCGTCAATATTTTAATGGAAAGTTACAATAAAAAGATACAACCAAAAAATAACCGTCATCGAAAAATTAATCGTCAATTTATAATGAAGAGTTGCGATATAAAGACATAACCTAATTAAAAAAACCGTCAATATTTAACGAAAAGTTGCGATAAAAAGATACAAACGAAAAAAGTAACCGTCAATAATTCAACGGAAAATTGCGATAAAAACACAACCGAAAAAAGTAACGGTCAAGATTTTAACGGAAAGTTGCGATAAAAAGACAAAAGCGAAAAATAACCGTGAACAAAAAAAATAACCCTCAACCGAAAAAATAACCTTTGGTGACCTCCTAAGTGAGGTGATCTAAATTACCTCTTTTGTAAGAAAGTTTTACTATATATCCTTTGTTTATGTCTGTATTACTTGCAGAGGTTGAGAGGGACGACTTAGTAGCTTCTAAATTAGTCACTCTTGACGACGTGGTTCGCTACAGTGTCCTGAATTAGACCAGTGTTCTTGTAGTGTTGCAGAAACATCAAATTCTCAACATGATTTGTGAAAAATCCTTCATAGCGATCTTGACCCGTCGATTCCTTGTCTTTGATTCCTCATGATTTCAACTCTCCTAACACTCCGCCTCTCCATATTGTAGTAGTAAACATAAAATGGATGGGTCAAACGTCTTGAGTCTTGACGCCCAAACAATTTCACATGTATCAGTTGTCCACAATGATTTTACTGCCCTCAAACCTAACTTTGACAAAACAAAGAAGCGCGTCGACCATTTAACTTCCTTGGTGTCATAAGAACCCATATGATAGTCTGTTGCTAGATGCTACAAAACTTAAATTGTCACTAAATTTTTTAGGCTGAGGGAATTAGAAGAAGTGCCACTTGCTGCCAAATCTAAAGGTGAACAAAAGACGCGGCAGAGACAACGAATTAAGTGTAGCAGTAGCAGTAGAAGATCAACAGTAAAAAGATCAAGATCAATGTCATAGACAACATCCATAAGCAACAACAATGAACAGAAGTGAAAATCCAGTAAGAATCAGAAACGATTAAGTGAAGTAAACACTTAGAAACAAACCAGTGACAAGACTGAAAGTTACTACAGAACCATCACATTCTCAACATGGTCTATGAAGGTGAAGTGTTCTTCGGGACGATCTTCTATACCAATCAATAATTTTTCTTCAATTCCTTTAACTTCAACTCTTCTAAGACTCTTCCTCTCCACGTTGTAGTAGAAAATATAGAATGGACGGGTCCAACGACTTAGCATCCAAACAATTTCACCCTCATCAGTTGCCCAAATTGATTTTATTACCTCATGAGTTGTATTTGGCAAAACAAAGATATGCTTCGACCATTGATCGTTCTTGCTATCATCTAGAACCAATAACTCATCATCACTACCTAAAACATACACTCGAACACCTAACTTTCCCTTGTAGTTTATCAGACTCGAAATGCAACGTAACTTACAACTATTGTCCATTTCTATAAACCTAAATTTCTCCGACCTAACATCAAAGCATGCTATCAAAGTAGTCATGTTGGACCGAGCTATGTAATACAAAACCCCGTTGATGCATACATGTCTCTGCTTATTAGGATAATGCGGAATCAAACATTCGATCTTTCTCCACGATAGTTTTCCCTTACCTAATGTCAAAACTTGATGCTCTTTAGAGCTAGTTTGTCTTCTATAATTCGTCACGGTCATGCACAAAACCTTGAACTGTTTCTCGATCGGATCATACCCGAAAAAGCTTCTTAAATCAACATTCTTTGCTCTCACTTTAGGTAAAAGTAGGTGCTGACCCGTGCTAGGGTTACATATCACAGGAACCCTATCTATCTTTCCCTTTAAAATCTGTTTATCATTCAGATAGAACAATCCATTGGCAGATAGACAAATTTCCTTGTACCAATCTCCAGAGAAACCCATATGATAATCTGTTGCTACAACACTTACGTGTTCATCAAGATTTCGAGGCTGATGGGATGAGAAGAAGTGCCACTTGCTGTCAAATTCTATGGCGAACAAAAGACGCGGTCGAGACGATGAACTTGTCAGGTACAGTTCCGTGAAATCTGGACGTCGAAGTAAGGACGACCATTGCTTCGACACACAGCAACAAATTGCGATGGATTTAGACGATAATCTTGAGAGTATCTCGATAATGAGATCGATGGGAAACGTATTTGTGTTTTCATTTTCTTCTACATTCGTTGAGGTCGATGATTGTGTGTTACGTCGGACGATTTTATGGCGATCCATATTTGGCAAATTGTTCTGCTCTAGCCTCTCTACTCTAGGTATACAGTTCTACTAGGAATACAAAAAAAACTGAGATTTAATTACTATAATCTTTTCAGAATCTTTTTTTTTCTGGCAGATCTTTTTAAAATTTTTAGTTTCCTATTTAATCTTTTTTTCTTTCCAAGTATTCATCAACTGAATTATGAGTTTATCCAAAGAATATCCTGATTTTTACCATAATCTTTTTTAAAATATTGAATTGGTCCTCGATGAGATTATAAAATCATTTTTAAATAAATAAATTGAAATTTTACATCCTCAATACAGTCCCGGCCCAACCATTTCAAAGGCTTCAATGCAAAAAAAAAAATTCTCCCAATATTAATTTAAATAAATTATTTGGACTTCTTATTAAAGAAAAAAAGTGATGGGCCTCTTCTTATAAGATTTACACCAAATGTTTAAATTTTGGTCCAAATTTATATTAGAATCTAATTTTTCGGTCAAGATTTTTTTATACAAAATTTAGACCTTTTATGTTAAAAAACAGTAGAAACAAAAAAATTTCATTGTATCACTATTTTTGTTGCTAACTTGTTTTTTGTTTTTTTCAAAAAAAATTATAGCTTTTTCTTACCACTAAACTTTATTATAATTACTTCGTATCACTAATCGAATCAACTATCGCATACACGAATAAAGAGTGTACATATAAGTGAGTGGTAGAATTAAACCAGAATACTTTGTAGGTTAATAATGTTAATATTCAAGTGGTGACTAAGACGATTGACATCCGAAAAAGAGATAAGAAAATGGAAGATGGAAGCTGATGGGGTTTTTGTCGGCCAATATTTGGGTTTATCTTTTAACCCATTACTCTACGTGTCCTCTCTTTTGTTCTTTTCTTAAGTGACGTGTCCTTGTTATAACTTAATTAACACTTAATTTCCACAAATACATTTGACTCTTTGGTATTATCTATCAAACCATAGAATCTTTTTCTGATACTTGTTAATTGTTGTTGTAAAGCTTTTCTTGACTGTCCTCTCTAGACAAAGAATATATAGAAACGTAAACATCTACGAATCAAACAAATTATGTTCACTGTTTTTTGGGTTTAATATAAATCTAATCAAAACTGCGAAAACGAGCATAGATTAAATGATTAAACGAACATGTTCATATTCTTTCACGGTTGCACCAATATTATGATGAATCAAAGTAAACTAAAACCAAAACATTTGAATAAAAAAGGAAGCATCTAACTTAAAATAATAAATCCTTTTTTTTTTGGACAAACACTTAAAATAATATATCCTATTAGTTTATGTGGTCCTGTAATACAATTATACAAACATACAAGTCTCTGTCATACCAAAGCACGGGTATTTGTCCTTAATAAGCAACTTTGGAATAATATACTATGAAATAATGATTAATAGTCTATGACAATAAAATAGTTATTAAGAGTTTGAATGATTGAATCAAATAGTTAAGTTCATAAACTGTCAATGAGTAGATTTGAGACTGCATCACGGGTGGTAATCGACCCATATTTTTAAATAGGATACGAGAGAAATATTTTGTATTTTAATTTGGATCATATCATTTCATGCAAACAATTTGAAGCATCGCCGTGGGTATAAATAAACATAGAGATAATATTTGATTATTTTTTTGTCAAATGAGATAATATTTGATTCGAGTTAAGTATTACTAGTAAACTAAAACAAAAATCAATTTGGTTTGGAAAATTTAAATTGTACTCGGCTTTGAGTTCCCTTCATTTCTTTTTCGTTTTTCCTAATTTCGTGAAAATGTTTTACAAGATACGCTCATTTATATAGAGATGAACTAATTAACTAAACATAGGTTTTCAAATTAAATAATGAAAAATTGTAAGTAATAATTTTAAAGATAAAACTGAATTTAATAAACTAAAGATGTACAAATGTTGATCAATTTAAAGAGTTCTTGATTTCTTTAAAATTAGGTTTTCGTGAGTTGTAATTTTTGTTTGTTATCTCAAACGCTTGATCTCGATCAATTTCAGTCGGTCTCCTAACCCTCCATGCATGACAAATTCAGTGATAAATTTAGTAAAGAGATAACAAGTGAGACGTACGAGGTTACTTGGCAATTTCTACAAAACCAATATTTATGTCGGCCATAGTTGAATATTTAATATTGTCACCGTACTTTATAAACTTCCACTGCCCCCAAAAGTTTGTCTTTTATCAATGGAAAGAGAACAAGAAGAGTCTACGATGCGAAAGAGAAGGCAGCCACCTCAAGAAGCAATGGCTAGCCACGTGGCTACAAGGAAGCCGTACAGAGGGATACGGAGGAGGAAGTGGGGCAAGTGGGTGGCTGAGATTCGTGAGCCTAACAAACGTTCACGTCTTTGGCTCGGCTCATACACAACCGATGTTGCCGCCGCTAGAGCTTACGACGTCGCGGTGTTCTACCTCCGTGGCCCCACCGCGCGCCTTAACTTCCCCGATCTTCTCTTACAAGAGGAGGACCACCGATTGGCAGCCGCCACCGCGGACATGCCCGCAGCTCTTATACGGGAAAAGGCGGCGGAAGTCGGCGCTAGAGTCGACGCTCTCCTTGCTTCCGCCGCTCCTTCGACGGCTGACTCCTCTCCGCCGGTAATAAAACCCGATTTGAATCAACTACCCGAATCCGGAGATATATAGTCAAATTTTACACATGTAGTTTGTTTTGTTTGTTTAGAAGATTACATTTACATAAAAGATACACATAAATACATGAAAATAAAGATATGTATACATGATTCTGATTAGGTTTTTGTTTTTCGATAAAAACTTTATTAGTTGCCCAGAGACAAAACCGGCTAAGAGCAATCCATGGGAAGCGAGTTTTAGTTCAAGTTGTAATATTAATGATGCATATTAATTCTTAGGTAACTTTGTTAAAGAATTTGTGATTCGTGTCCTCTTCATATTTTACTAATGTTTAAACTCCATTTTTTTTTTATTATAAGCTTGATGTGATCTTCGGATTCGTAATCCCAATATATATGCTTATTTACGTTATCTTGAGGATATTGGTAGAGAACTCCATCCGAAAAAACATGTACTTTACATTAAAGAAAATTCTCTCTTTGTGTGCTTTCAACGTTAGTTAATCAATGAATTAATTATTTTATTTATGATTCGCAAATATTCAATGATTTGCGTAAGGCGTGTAAGAAAGCCATTAGTTTGTTTTTTTTTGTTTTTTAAAGAAAGTCAAAATTAGTAATAAATTTTCTGTGATGATGGGCACCAAAAACATTTATTTTTAATGATCAAAACTATACTTTTATTTTATAAAAGTCATTATTTTTTTATATAATAATTTTTTTTTACGAGTTAAGAACTGAAATAATTAAAATTTAATACAATCAAGTGTGTATTAAAATCTACTAGCCCAGAAAAAGCTGTTCTAGCTAGGCTGGTTGATAACAATGTTGATCTATTATGTTCCCTTTATTTTATAATCTATATATATATTTTTGGAACACTTTTAGCAAATAAATCCTGGGGTTGGGCAGTATTTACAAAGAATGTCATTGGCATTTATTATTACTTTTACAAAATTTAAATAAAAGATATTAACCAAACAATATCTTGCCTAATTTGTTTCTAAAAATCTCTACACAATCTTTCCATATATCTTCAAAAACATTTATAGCAAATATTTATATTACCATTTTGCATAGCAATAAAAATACTAATTTATAATAATCAAAATATTCACATAGAAAAATCAAATACACATACAGGAAAAAGAACTATATCTATCATCATTTAAGTCGTTGCTTTATTTAAATAAAAAAAAAACACAAAAACTTGAAATCATATACTTTATATGATAAATTTTAAATATATATTAGTAGTATAAATTTAAAATCTTTCAAAGAACGGTATACTACGGGTGAGATCCTAAAAATATTAGATTTTATAACAATAATAATTTATTTTCTTGAATTTTATAATACTAATAATTTAACTAACGAGATAATATAGACGGGTTTATATGGGATAACGGGTTTGGGTCGATATTAATAAATAACGGTATATCACGGATGAAATCCTAAAATTAATAATCAAAATACAATTATACAATCTTAAACACAAAACAAAAGAAACAATATTAACAAAACAAATCCAACTTAAATTTAAATTTTTAGTTATAAAAAAACCGACCCACGGTATACTGCAGAGTAAAATATTCAAAATTTTAAAATCCACCATACATCGTTACTTTAAAAAAAATGTATGTTTTCGTATCTATACTTCAAAAATTGATAGATAGATATCTACATTTAAAAATACAAATTAATATGATATATCTTCAGTTAATCTTTTAAAAAATAACATTACATTTTTAAAAAAAATATTGCCCCGCGGTATACTGCGGGTTAAATTCTAGTATAAAGCGTTTTGGATAAACATTTTTTGTTTCGCAACATAAATCGTTTTTAAGTTTCTATGCAAATTATATATCATTTTAATATTTTATTATTATTTATATTATGCAGATTCTTTTATGATTGACTGAACTTTTAAAAAGTAGATCTTCTTAATTGGCGTTTTTTTAGCTAAAACGATTTATATTATGAAACATAGAGCGTATTAAAAAGAGCTCTAATGAAGTGTGTATGAAATGAGCTGATTGAATCTGTATACATGTATACTGCAAACAAAAAGAGTAGGTTGATGTCATTACTTATATATTAATTCAGAAATACTCTTAAAAACAATTTTATTTTATGTGTTCTTAACAAAATTTTCATGCGTACGTATCGCTCTTTGTCTCTTTGAAAGAGTTTTAGTCCATTTAAATAAGTGTTCAATCTTTACTAGAGTATTTACAAATTTTGCTATTAATGTTATATATCTCATACTAACAAAAACTCCACTTAAATAAAGCAAATTATGAAGTAAAAGAACTAATCACAAAGATGCATACATTGTTTGTTATGTAAACTAGAAAAGAAATCATCATTTTAATTATTTTACCTATGAAAAAAATTTTGATACAAAAAATCGCTAATTTGAATAGAATAAAAAATATTAGATGTTTCTTAATATTTCAAATTTTTGATAATAATAATAATATAATATATTTTCTAACTAAAACTACAATATATTTAGTTAAGAATCATTTCACCTCGCACATAGTGTAGGTAAAATACCTACTAGTAATAATATAATTATTGGCTCCTTCCATAATTGCATAATAACATAAGATAGAATAAAAATTGGAATAATAAAAAGTCGTAAAACAAAAAAATTTCATAATAATAAACAACTTTTAATTGTATTTTCTTAGACAAAAATGCAAATCATCTGTTTTGATAAACATAATGTAAATTTTCTTGATAAATAAACTTTTTGCATAATTTCATTACAAAATTTTATTACTCCAATATCCGTGTTATCAGTCGGAACCATTGTTTAATTTGTTCCATTTCATTTCTTTTATTATGTACTAGATAGCAATTAACTTCGTGATATGCAGGTACAAATTTTATTTTATGATGTTCCGAGTTTAATTAGGATTCAAATATCGCAAGCGTACCCTTTATCAAAAGAGTAATATACATAACTATATATAGGGTAAGTGACTGGTTAAGTTACTTAAGTACATGGTAAAAAAAAAACATAAATTTTTTAAATTTCAAAAGAAAAAAAAATTAGATTTTTTTGAATTCAAATTCAATACAAGAAAATATACAGATTTTTGATAGAAATTTAGACAAAAAAATCTATCTGAAATGGTTAGGATGAATATTTGTGAACTATAAATTCTTCGAAAATCCATCAAACATTTCCGAAAGACAATGCATCGTAAAGTATGCTTAAACGGTGAATCATATATGTATTTTTATGATTAGTTGGATGAATTTTGATACAACATTTGTTCGATATATTTAGTTATCTGCATGAGATGGTTTGATAAAATATTAATATTTAAGTTCAATCTTTATATTTTATATGTATATATTGATAATAAATATTTTATCTATATTTATTTCGGAATAACATATGTTTTGGTGGGATTTCAGATCTTTAGCATTTTGAATTTTTTTCTTAGATATGAAACTGACGGGCTTCATATTTGCGATATTAACATAGTCAGGCGGACCCACGAAAGACATGAAATGTGCCTCTGCTCTAGTGCTCTCGTTAGTTTGAAGGATAAATGTTACTAGCGGAGAGACAATTTTTAGGAGCATATGTAAATTTAGTTATATGAGTCTTAGACAAAAGTTGTGTAAGAATAATGTCTTCCACATCGATATATGTGATGGAAGGGTTTCGAAGAGATGATGTCCTCCGCATGGGTATGAACAGTGCGCCTGGTGAGATCCATCTCAATTGAGTGTTGCAATTGTTGAGTTATATGGCCATGTGACATGATATAATCGATAGACGCAAAATCATTGTAAGTTTGAATGAAATACGATTTGAGAACTATTCATTTAAAAAAAATACAAAAAGTTTATTAATTTACTAGAAATATAATTCAAAAGGGTTTTGTGCAAAAAAACCCTCAAAGTTGTCAATTTTTGCAACTTTACCCTCCACCTCCAAAAAATGCAGAATAATCCTATGAAGTCTAAAATAATAGGCAATATAGCCCTTATGTATATATTTTAAACGTTTTCACGATCACATACATTTGATTTTTAAAATTATAAAGTTAGAATTGCACTCCTCGTCTCGAGGGCTTCGATTTGATATATTATTAACCATAATTTTAAAAACTTGAAAATAACGAAAAAGGGTTAGATTGCCTATTATTTTGGACTTCATAGGATTATTCTGCATTTTTTAGAGGTGGAGGGTAAAGTTGCAAAAATTGGCGACTTTGAGGTTTTTTTTGCACAAAACCCAATTCAAAATAATAATTTACTTTAAAAATATGTATTCATACTATATGTATATATCAATGATCTTAGTTGTTTTTCTTTTGTTTAAATATATTATAAAATATCTTATTTCTCATAATTATAATGGATGTACATGTACTTGATGAGAAAATGTTATGTCTTACAATTAGTAGCATAAAAATAAAGATATGAAATGATAGATTTAAATAAACAGAGATATTATAAATATAATTAGTTAATACAAAATTGGTCGGTTAAGTGACACTGATATAAACTTCAAACTAATTAGTAGGTTGGGTTATTACTTCTGTATACTTGGAAGCTAATTCATATAAACTCCAAACTAAACAGAGAAGTTATAAATATAATTAACAGTTAGGTGTCGTCTCAGTTAGGAGAACCGATCTTGAGGGCCTAACATGAAATAGCTCTGCAGCCCATATAGGATTCTCTCATTGGGTCTTTCCTTTTTTTTTTTTTTTTAATCATGGATTCTATACAGTTTCGTTTATATTTATGTTTATGCAGTGTCGGCCCTGAGCACAGCCAATTGAGACAATGGTTTGTGGCCCCCAAATTTTTTGTTGCAAAATGAGGCCCCCAAATATATTTTTTGTTGCAAAGAGAAGCCCCATTTTCTTGAAATTTTAAGATTTGGTATCAGTGTGTAAAATTTATCTATAAAACCCAACAAATTTTTTCTTTTTTTGCTGGGGCCCGCCCCATATTGTTCAGGACCGGCCCTCTGTTTATGTGACATAGTGACATAGTTTCGTTTATGTTTTTCTCAGTTTTCTGGGTTATCATAAATAACTCTGCAGCCTATATATAGTTGATGTGTTGAAATTTTTTTTAAAGAAGTATAGGTAATAGATTTTCTTTTTAGTAAGAGAAACCAAATGAGTTTAGTTTTTAAATAACCAAATTTGGACT